TTATGTATCTGATAAGGTGTTAATATCCAAAGTATATAATGAACTCAGACAACTCAATAACCAAAAACAAAATAAAACAAAACAAACAAACAAACAAATATGAATAAAAATGGGCAGAGGACTTGAATGAACATTTCTCCAAAGAAGACAAATAAATGATTAACAAATGTATGAAAATGTGCTCAACATCACCAATCACCAGGGAAATTCAAATTGAAACCACAGTGAGATATCACTTAACACTTGTTAGAATGGCTATTTTCAAAAGAGAAGAGAAAAGTGCTGGTGAGATGCGGGGAAAAGGGGTGTACTTTGGTACAGCAACTGTGGAAAACAGTATGGAGGATCCTCAAAAAGTTTTAAATTACTACCATATGGCAAAACAATTCCACTTGTTATAGAGTCCTATCAGCTTTGGAAGAGAGAGGGTGAAGGGACAAGAGTGAGAGGTTTTCAAACTACAAAAAAATAGTGTTTTTTCTGTTTTGTTTTGTAATAAGTCTCTATATTATTGTTCTTATTATCAAAGGAATACTTGGTTATTACCAAAAGTGTTACAAAATATAGATAAATTAAAAGAAGAACATGAAAAATAACCAGGCTTCACATTAAGTTGACTATTTGTAGGTTCCAAAACCCAATATTATACTATCCTACCTCCTTTCAAAAATAGTCATTTGTCCATTTCCCCCAAAAAATAATAAATAAGCAGAAATAAGTAGATCAGGGAGTTGATGGAATATCAGGAAATGGGCAATAACAAAGAGGTACTGATACCTTTATCAACAGCCTGAAGGCAGAATCTTAAAATGTATTTTATGGCCTTAGACAAGTAGGTAAACAAAGAACGTGAGGCATTGATTATGTTTTCTATACCAATATGAAGGTGATTAATATGAAGAGCCAGAGATTCATAACACTGAGCAACATGGTTTTGAATATATTCTACTTGTCTTTACAAGTTTCATTTGTTATGGGTGGTTTTTTTCCCCCCTCTTCAAGGCTTCCTCTGATAATCATGTTTATTCCATAAGCAAGTATATATGATAGTTATATATAAATTCTTATATGTTTCAGACTATGAAATAGTTCATAAATAACCTTAAAATGGCTGAATGTTTATAAAAATAGGTAAATGGGTATTATAACTTTATATCCATTAATATCATTTATCTTTGCTTCTTTTTAACTCTTAAGCTATTATATAGATTTTGTTCTTATACATTTATATTCCATCAGCTCGATTGAACTTTCTTACTTCTTACATCTTCACAAATCTGTGGGAAGTCACTTATACTCCAAGGGAATCAGTGATATGAGAACTATATTAAGATTCCATTTCTACTGACATTTCTTTTGCATGGTGAGAGAACTGAATGAGTCAGAAGGAAAGAACTCTTGCAATTAGTTTAAAATCAATGTAGGAGATAAACTGTCAGAATTTCCCAAGTAGAACAACAAATCATTCAAATTTGAAAAGAAGTGTCTCCACATAAGAAGAGAAAAATAACCATAATATATGTTATTTAAATTTAATACATCTTTAAAAATGGAGAGTACCTAAATTAAGCAAAGTCTGCAAACTGATGAGTTACCTAAAAAAGGAAAATATATTTGAGAAGAGGGACAATAATACATACACAGGAAAACACTCTATTTGATCTCCGTTCTTTCAGGTTAAAGTGTCTCCACATAAGAAGAGAAAAATAACCATAATATATGTTATTTAAATTTAATACATCTTTAAAAATGGAGAGTACCTAAATTAAGCAAAGTCTGCAAACTGATGAGTTACCTAAAAAAGGAAAATATATTTGAGAAGAGGGACAATAATACATACACAGGAAAACACTCTATTTGATCTCTGTTCTTTCAGGTTATTTTTTAAAGTCAACTTTATGTTATTTATAATGTTAAAAATTAAAATAAGGTAAAATAGAGTAGAAGGAACTATAATTTTCAATAAAGTTTATGGATGTTTAGAAGCTATGGGCATTTTGGAGAAATTCTATATAAAATTGTGTCTATATGCAAGAAGCAAGAAACAGCAAGTAATCTTATTTTGGATTTTTAGAAATAAATATCAGATGTCTACTTCTATCAGATGGAATAAAAGGGGTTATATTTACCGTTCCTCAATGAAACAACCAAAAGATGGACAAAATATATGAAATGACAGATTGCAAGCGAGTGGATATCAGATAATGAAGCAGAGAGAGGAAACGAATGAGGCGAGCCTTGTGTTTGCCCTGGCTAACTACCTTGAGAGAATTTTTGAGCCATAGCACAGTCTGGAGAGACCCAGGTGGAACCCCAAAGACTCCTTGAGTTGAGGAGGCGGCACTGATAGTCCAGGGAGGCTCAAGTCTGCAGATAATGCCAGAGAGAAGAGAGCAGCACAGAGAGGAAAACCACCCTCCTAGAAATAGTAAAGCAAGGTTGTTAGTCAGCAGGAAACAATGCCAGATGAATATATGATTCTATACATGGGATTAAGAGCACTGCATGGATACATATATAAAATTATCTTATTATTTAAATCATGTCCAAAGACAATCTAATGTGTAAAATTGTGAATGTGCAGTGAATAGCATTTGGAAAAGTAAAATGTATGACAATAGCTCAAAGGTTAGGAATGGAGAAATGGAAGTATCCTATTTTCATGTTCTGAGAGTTTGCATGAAGCAGTAAAATATAACTTTAAAACAGACTGCAGTCACTTAAAGAGATATACTACATTTCTGCTCCTGGGAAGATGAGGTAGATATACTTTTCTCTACTCCTTTTGCTGACTACAACTAAAAACAATGAGTATTATATATATAAAAGAAACATAAAATTTTTTGGAAGGCAGAGAGAAGAAGGAAGACAGGTTTGGCACCTTGAAATCCAAGAAGCACACAGATGTGAGTTCCCTAGATTTTATTGTTGTCTCATATATCCCAGATCTGGAGGTATAGACATTGACAACTCAGAAACATGAACAGGTGCAGACCAAAAAAGCCCCCAACAAAAGTCTGTTTTCTCTTCCAAAGGGCCTGGAAAGGTGCAGAGGAGCAAGACAAAAAACTTTTAGGCAATAACTTTTCAGCTCCAGCCAAACGTCACAGAAAAAATCTGCAGCCCCAACTTCACCTCAGCATCTAAAGAGTAGGAGTGTAGGCTTCCCACCTCTGCCAGGCTGCAAAGAAACGCTCCAACTCCCCACAAGGTGGTGTCAGAGAAGGCAGAGAGGGGAGCGGGGCTTTCATCCCCACTGGGCAGTGAAGAGCCCAGGCAGAACTGGGTTTCAACCCCTAATCTGACACGTGTGGCCTTGAGCAGTTTAGTCTCTCTGAACCTCTGCCCATTTGTCAAATGAATAAGCATTCCTACTTTGCGTGATAGAGTTGAAGATTAGCACCCATATATGAACAAAAAGTGCCTCACGCCCCTGAAAAAATGTAAAGTATGAACCATTGTATCTCTTAAGAATATGGAAGCAAAAATCCTTGACAAAGTAGTAGCAAATAGCACTCAACAGTATGTAAAATTGATATACAGCATAATCAAATGGGTTTTATTTCAGGGATACAAAGCTGATTCAGTATTTTGGAATCATGCTCTGTTTCTCTTAGAACCCTGACTAATACAATACCATACACACAAACATAACTCAAAATGGATCGTTCAGTGGTTCTCAACATTCTGGCCCTTTAAATACAGTTCCTCATGTTGTGACCCAACCATAAAATTATTTTCGTTGCTACTTCATAACTGTAATGTTGCTACTGTTATGAATCATAATGTAAATATCTGATATGCAGGATGGTCTTAGGTGACCCCTGTGAAAGAGTCATTCGACCGCCAAAGGGGTCGCGACCCACAGGTTGAGAACTGCTGGTATACATAAATGTAACATTAAAACTCATAAAGATTCTAAAAGAAAACATCAGAGCAAATCTTTATTACATCCTGTTAGACAAAGACTTCTTAGATATGATACCCAGAGCACAATTCACAAAAGAACAAATTGATATATTGGATTTACCAAAGTTAAAAGTTCTTTCTGAAAGACAGTATTAAAGCAGGAAAAGTCAAGGCTAGGACTTGAGAGAAAATATTTACAGAATTTAATAACAAACTCTCAATATCCATAGTAAGAAAACAACCATTCCAATATAAAATGGACATAAGATTCCTAACACTTCACCAAACAAGATATATGGATATCAAATAAGCACATTAAAAGAGTTTCAACATCTTTAATCATTTGGGAAATGCAAACCCAAACACTGAGACTACAGCGGACACCTTTAAACTTGTATCTTATTTCTTTTCGTATATATATATATTTGTTGTTGTTGTTGTTGTTGTTGATTTCAGAGAGAAAGGGAGAGGGAGAGAGACAAATATCAATGCTGAGAGAAAATCATTGATCAGCTACCTCCTGCACGCCCCCTACTGGGGATAGGGCCTGCAATCCAGGCATGTGCCCTGACCAGGAATTGAACTGTGACCTCCTGGTTCATGGGTCAACACTCAACCATTGAGCAACACCAGCCATGCTCATTTGCTCCTTTAATATTATTTTTGTTTTATAACAAGTATCATTTGTTATCTTCATGAAACTGTCATATGGAATTGAAGGCAAAAGATTGGTGTAATTGTAGAACAAAATGTTGGCTTGAGAAAGATGTGGTTTTTTCCTTACCTTTAATGGAAGGTTAATTTCTATCACACCTTCTCCCTAGAGTTATGATATAGACAACTGACATTTGTTCATTTTTATTAAAAACACAATGTTGTTATACAACCACAGTGACTAAGCTCTGCAATATGGAAGAATTTGGGGATAGTGTGAATAACGGTGACTAGACAGGCCACCAAAGTGGTCTGCCATAGATCTTTTTCAAACAAACTCCTTCAGAAATAGCTATACTTTGGAAGATTTATATTAAAATTGTAAGTTGTGACACAAGCTTCTGTTTATTTCCTCTTGATTTTGGTGTTTATTTCAGCTGCTGAAGGAATGGTGTGTAACCATCTGTGCTCAAGCGATGGCTGTTGGGGACCTGGGCCAGACCAGTGCCTGTCCTGCCGTCGCTTCAGCAGGGGCAGGACCTGCATAGACTCTTGTAACCTCTATGATGGGTAAGACATCTTCTATGTCACCTTTACCTCTTGACCTTTGAGGTACTGGTTGATTCAGATTGTAAAATGATAAGAATATTGTAAAATTTCAGTATGGGTATACAGGCCAAGATTTTTAAGGAGAACTTTAGTTGCATAAAGTAGACAACTTATAGAATAATTATTTAAAGAGGAAATAATATTATTGGAAATATCAAGTCCAAATATATATTGAATATTATTCACATTTTAAAAACATGTAACAAAATAATTATTAACAAATTATTGAAATTTACTTTAAGTAAAATTGAAAAATATATTTCTACTCTCCTTATAAAAAAGGATTGTTATAAGCAATCTTTCCTTTTGTATGTCCCAATAGTCTTTATTTTTATACTTTCTACTAATGTTCACCTTTAATTATACATAACTTTTATTTATGTTTTCCATTTAGGTTGCATGTCTATTATTTTATTTTATTTTAGGAATGACACACATTTCTATGTCTCTGACAACTGCTTAGCCTTATAGAAAAACTACCTTCATAATTTCTAGTTGAATAGGTTTTTCTAAGTGTCCTGCCACTTTCTAAAGATAACCTAAGCAATAATTTAAATAAAATGTTTTACATTTCTTCTATTACTATAATAAAACCTAGTATATACCTTGCTGCATGACATCTCACATGCTCATAAAATCACTTTATCATAAACATGCCATTTCATGCATCATAGTTATCCTTCATTAGTGTGATAACACATTTTTTAGTACTGTCCCTGAGTCAATTTTTTTATATTCTCACAGTGAATACTTTCAACAGTTTTGTAAAATTGCAGTTTTGAATTTCTTTATTTAATTTCTTCTTCTGCCTCATGAATTGTCCAATTTTTAGCAACTGTTTTCATGATCCCAAATAACATTATAATTTTGTATTTTATAAAAGAAAAATTAAAATGTCTGAAACATAGTAATATATTTTTTTAGTTTATCTTATTGTTGGAGGTATTACCAGTGGTTTCCCTTTTTTTCCCCTATTGTTCCCCTCTACCCTAAACCTCTCCCAAATCTACTATTTTGAATCATGCTAATAATGATATGTCTCTTCTTTGAAAGATGACCAAATTCAATTCTGTCCATACAATTTAGAGGAAAAAGATTAAAATTAGAAAATTAAGTATAAAAATTGTAAATAAAAATGTAATAGTTTTTCAGGAAAATTTCAGCTTCTTATTTTTGCAAGATACAATCAGCTCATAAATTTGATAATGAATAACAAATTATGTGCTGTTTGTCTCAGTGAAATGTATTCATGGTTGTTTATTTTCATGAAAGTAATATATTTTCTATACATAAAGTAGCTTAGATTAAAATAAGCTTGTTTGTGGGTGGCAATTGACACCCCTAAAATGAAACTAATAGACTTTAATTCCATTAAGTGAATATTACAGTAAAAGTTTATTGAATATGTATGTGCAGTTCTAAAGAAGTAATGATTTCTAGGATTCATGTTTTTTTACAGCAGTATCTTATAATCACTGAGAACTGGTAGAATTAGTACTGGCCAAGCTCATAACACTGTAGGGAGCCCAAGCCAATACTACAACCCAGGGCACCATGTTCATTCTCTTTCCTTTCCAGCTGTCATCGCTTTTTAAAAAATATTTCATTTTAAACTTACCAGAAATATGAAATTGATAAATATGTGGATCTATACATCACCCTCTCTCTCAATTGTGCAAAAAAAAATGAAAACTAAGTAAAGGAAAATTACCAGTAAACAATAATTACCTGATTGTTTTTGAAAATTTACCATTTTCCATGTTATTAAATGAAATGTATTAAAGAAATTTAAAACTTTTTATATATTTTGAAATCGTAATAGGACCCTAGAAAATCATACTCACAGTGTTAATTTGAAAAAATAAATAAAAATATCTTCTAAGAATCTGATGTAATTCTTGTCTGCCCAAACAAGGATGTATTTATTTCCCCATCTCCAGTTTTGTGGGAGTGGATAATTTCTCCCAACATTGCCTAGTAGTTAAAACAACATTTGAGGGAAAATGAATTCAAAGCTAACCATCACCTTCTAGTGGAAATGTCCAGCCTTGGACAAATAACCTAATCATTGTAAACTCCATTTTCTTATATGGCAATGAGTATAGTAACAGTGCCAACTTCATAAAATAGTTGTGATTATTAAATGAGAAATAGATAACAAAATCTTATTAGTGTTCTGACCATCAAAACTCATTATTTTCTTTCTTTGTCTATTAATATGAGCTGATCAAATGGTTAGGTAGAAAAGTCACCTTAGAAACTGCTAAAAATAAATACAAATACAGTATGGCAATTACCAAAATCTTATTCTTATTTATAAAAGAGGTTTATTATCATAAAAGAAGAAACCCTAAATAGAGCACTTGAAAATCAGCCAATTGTTGGCTATTAACACTCAAAATTCAAATCATTTGAGTCACTATATTTTGGCAACCCTTAACTACAATGCACAAGCTATCAAAATGAAAGAGAAAGTTAATTGCAATGGAATCTTACATTTTTCTTATCTGGCACGGTGATTAAACACTTCTGAAACTTGAAGAACACAGAAACATCAAAAAGAGTGCCTGCCTAAGCTCTTTGGAGGCATTTTAACATTAATGATCACAACCTCTCATTGAAACATTTTTTTTTTCCTTTTTACAGAGGATACTTAAAAAACTGAAGCTTTGAGAAGTTGAGGGATTTAAAGCCTGGGAATATTAGCCTGGATCCTGGGGTTTAAATTTGAGAAGGGTGTGACTTCAGAGTATTTGTTATTGATCATAGGATTGGCTAAGATAGCAGACACACAACAAGCTGAAAAATGTAGAGCATCAAAAACAAGGAATAAATGCTCATGCTTAGCAGACTGATTCCGTAGGTCGGATTCCAGTGACAGGGAATCTCTGGCAAGGTGGACCAGGAAGAAAAAGAACAATGATGGAGGCAGTAACAATAAAGAGCGGGAGTCAGAGAAACTGTAAGAAGTATCTGTTCTGAGAGCAGAAAGGAAGAAAGTCAGAAGCCCTACAAATGGAAATGTAGTCCACAGAAGAAAAGGCAGCTAGATTGTCTCTAGTGATTTTTTTGTTTAAATCCTCACCCAAGGATATTTTTTCATTGGTTTGAGAGAGCGTGGGAGAGAGAGGGAAAGACAGAGAGAAATAGCAATGTGAGAGAAACACATGGATTGGTTGCCTCCTGACCAGTGCCTAGGCCAAGAGGATCCTGCAACCGAGGTACATGCCCTTGACCAGAATCAAACCCATGACCCTTTGGTACTCAGGCTGACACTCTTTCCACTGAGCCCAACTGGCTAGGGCTGTAGTAATTTTTAATCAGATTCACTTTACGTCAACTCTGTGTGCCAGAAAAGAGATTTTAGAGAAGAGATAGATAAGCATGGCCTATGTTCTAGTATCACAAAAATTATGACCTTTATTTAGTACCATAACCCTTTAGTCACCCAAGAAACCTGTTTGCAAAATAAATAATTTGCTGATGACACAAGCTTTGTTGTAACTGTCATGCACTATCATTAAATAGGTAATGCTTTTGACTATCTTTACAGTTTAGATATTCCCAATAGGAGGCCATTTTTCCCTTTATATTCTGCAGATTTCCTAGTGAAGTATTTTATATCACTCATGTTGATGAAACGTGCAAGAAAAAATCTGTTTTAATTAATTGCAATTTTAAACATGAGAAAATTCATAAAACATTTAATCCATAGCAAACTAGCACTTTAAAAATGTTAAATCCATGTAATTAAATATTTGCATTTATATATAACTAAACCATTGATTTATGCTATTCATTTTGAAAACCAAATTTAATTATTTTGCCTTGGAGTAGGTGTCATCTTAATCTATCCAAAAGAAAATAGAGCACATGCTTTGGACTTCTGTCATTTATTAAGGCTTTACAGTAACCAAATGAGATAGTTTACTATGAAAAAAAGGAAATATTTCACTCAAGGGAAAAATAAATTTGAATTTATCACCTAATTAATCCATAATTGCTATATTTGCAATGCTATTAGGTTGGAATGGTAGCTCATAGTACAAAGGCACAAAACAATGCAGTAGCTATAAATATTTAGTCAGGTTTTGTTAATGACATACTAAATTACCTTTGCCCAATACTGTACCCACTCACACAGTAGTGGGAATAGAATAGTTTAAACATATTGGACATGACTGATAACCAATTATTAAAATGAACATTTTAGAGTAGATATGGATTATCAAACTTATATGGATACCATTTAATATTCAAATAGTCACAATACGTAATGGTGTGAGGAGGTATGATCATCATTCCAGGTTTTAATTAGAAAGTTTTAGAATGTTACCATTAAACTATTTTTATTGTATGCCATATAGAATTACTTCAAAAGGAGTTTATACTGAAAAAAAAAATGTTGTGATATTAGATCAATAATCTGAGAAAATAAAATCTACCGTAAAAGGATCTTTTCTCTAATTCTCCATGGCAGATATTTTAAAAGAAGAAAAGAAATCAAAGCATTTTTTGAAGTTGTACCAAAAATAAATTAAAGAGTCTTGGGATTTGAAGGACAAGGATGGAGAACATTCATGCAACTAGGCAACAAGAAAAATACAATAGTCCTTTCAGAGTTTAAAATAACAAAGTTTCCACCAAGAGTAAAATTTTATAGAGATAGCCTCACTTCAAAAGTTAAAACGGTTCTGCTGTGTCATCAGAAGAGTTATACTTGCTTTATTTTTTGAAATGGCTACAGTATCTCTCACAAGTGAGAGGTTTCCTGAATGAGTCTATCGTTGAACCCAGTGGAGGGCAAGGAGAGCCATCTGGCTGCAGTTTATCTTCCCTCCTAATGGAGAACTTACTCCTTAATGTACAGGGAAATGATTCCGATGCTCCTGGCACAGAGAGAAACAAACTCTAGAATTTACTCTGCCAATAGGACTTTTAGCAGATGTTACTTCATTTGTTAAATTGACAGCTTGTTTGCTTACACCACCTCATGCAGCTGATGTTTTCACAGAGAATTTCGGGAGTTTGCGAACAGCTCCATCTGTGTGGAGTGTGACCCCCAGTGTGAGAAGATGGAAGATGGCATCCTCACGTGCCATGGACCGGTAAGCCTGAGGACATCTGTGCTTGTGTTGCCTTATTGAGTTTCATGTATGAGTGTTTGTATCATGCTGTATTGCTTATCCATTCATTCTATAGGTATTTATAGCATGTAATGGGGGATCATGTTTGATACTTCACCCTCAAGAGATTTTTAAGTTTGGTAATGGAGGTAAAATATGTAAAATTTTAATTTCTTAAATATTTAAGTCCCAGGTTATATATTAAAAAAGGAGATATGGATTTGACCCTGAAGACTACACAGTGTTGAAAAGAAAACAGAGATGAACAAGTAATTAGCTTGAAGCAAAATAATTGATAAACTAAAATACGTATAAATTAGAGGCCCAGTGCACAAATTCGTGCACCAGTGGGGTCCCTCAGCCTGGCCAGCGGGATCGGGCTGAAACTGGCTCTCCAACATCCCCTGAGGGGTCCTGGGTTGTGAGAGGGCACAGGCCAGGCCAAGGGATGCCACCAGGGCACAATCATCGGGGCCAGGGAAGGACACGGGAGGTTGGCCTGCTGGGAAGGGACCATGGGAGAGCTCCAGGGAGTGTCCAGCCCATTTTGCTCAGTCCCAATTGGCCGGAACCCAGCAGCAAGCTAACCTATCAGTTGGAGTGTCTGCCCCCTGGTGGTCAGTGCACATCATAGCAAGTGGTTAAGTGGCCTTAGCATATCATTAGCATATTACACTTTGATTGGTTGAAGAGCTAACTTGACTGGACACTTAGCAGATTAGGCTTTTATAATATAGGATTATTATAGGAACATAGTTGAGGGAGAAACTAAATCTGTCTTTGGGATGGAAAGTAGGCCATCAAAGCAGGACATAGAGAAGTGTTGTTTGAGCTATACTTTGAATAAGAATCTGGAATGCAGAAATATGCAAAGATTTGAAAATGTGAAAGTTGGTATTGTTTTGAGGTAAACTATAACATTCTTTGTTTAATTATTTAACTATTATGGCATTGTGAAGGTCCATTGAAAGAAGGAGGAAGGCAAATACAAACGAAACTCTTAAGCAGTGTGATAAATACTATAGCAAAGAGGAAAATAGAGCTATGTAAATTTTAGGAGAGGGTGTGGTAGAGGGTGTGGGATCAGGAAGGTCTTCATGGGTAAATTGACATATATAGAGTTGGAAGTTAGCCTTACAGAGAAAATGAGCATTACTTTTCAGTCTTCCCTTTGAGTCCCAACGTTCAGGCTTTTTCTTAATAATGAAATTGGTATGTGTTTGTCATTCCAAAGTGTCATATCCATCCTTTATTAGACAAATTTCCAGTTCATTTGTGTATTGAGTCATCTCTCAATAGATGACTTAGGGACCAACATTTGGTTGTAGCCAAGGCTTCAACATTTCTCCATAAGAATTTATTTTAAAATTAAATATTATTAATTTTTCTGCCACAGTGCTCATTCATCACTTAATTAACTTAGAAAAAAAATAATTGAGCCCTCCAAACTTCCACTAGACCCCAAGAGCCGTACTGGAACTCCCTCTAAAGGAGGATGTGGAAAACTTGGAAAAATCAGACCTCAGAAAAAGAAGTGGTGTGATTTGGCCTGAAGAACCAGTCTAAAAGACAGTTTAATACTTAATGATCCCCAAGTATGTATGCAAAGGGCATATGCAGCCACTAAGAATAGTAATGGAAAATATATTTTATCCACAGCATGGGAAATAGAGATTTTGTAAAGAATGTCATGAACAAACACAGGGAAATAAAGTTTCATAATGGGTTATTAAAGATATATTGATATGACTTCTTTTAAAACTAACATATTTAGACACCATGAGTCATAGAATAATAAAATCTCTTTTAGAGAGACTGACACTTTGGAAATGTATATTTAGAGTAATCAAGAATTTGCCATCTTCTCTGACCATGTCAGACTGCTAGAGAAATCCATGCTCTTTATATTCCTCATGCTGGCTCCTATGCCATAAATTATTCTAGTAAATAATTAGTTTATTAGTTTATTTAAATCATTCTGTTATTACATGGTGTTCCTGCATCACAGAAGCAGGAAAAGAGAAGGTTGAAGAGTTTAGCATAGTCAGTTCTAGAAATGCCTGCTAATTAATTTCATTGTCCAAAGCAAAATATACTTTACTTCTGGTGAGAAGAGAATTTCAAGATTCCATGTAACTGGAAGTGGAAGAGAATTGGTTACTGGTGAAAAGCAGTTTTGTCTCTTACAATTGCTACTTGGGATAAACATTGTCACTGAGAAAAAAATGCATTGTTTCCATCAGGATGTGGTCTATCTTATAGTTGTCTGTCTAATTTATTGAGTACAGGGGTAGCTTAAAATCAGAGATAAGGAAGAATATTGCCTTCACCTATGTTTTATATTATTGCATTTATTAGTTCATTCACTGAACCTAGGTTCTTAAAAGCTTTAGGAATATAATGATAAAAGAATAAGCGTTAGACATACATATATTTATTTAAATCTCTTTATAATTGAAATGAGGTGGAGAAACAGTACATTTCATTTCTTTTGAGATTTGCCAAGACATTTTTTAGTTATTTCAGCTTAGGATATCAGGTTTTGTATAATGATAACACAATGAAATAGTTGAGATACTTGAAAAAAATAAACAAAAACAATTTGTCTTATTATAGTGTACTTAAAGTTTAAATGTGAATTTAATTTTAGTTTCATAATTTTTATAACTTTTGATTTACCTGGATATTATTTTGCATTACAATTTTATAGAAAAATAATTTCTAGTTGCCACTGTAGCTGCCTAATTTAGTCATAGTAAGTTATATTCTTGTGTTCTGCAAGCAGACATCATGTCCCTTGTCTTGTACAATAAGTTATGCCACTGAGCATACTTGCACAGTAAATGATTTTGTATAATAGAAGGCATTACGTGCCTAAGTACCCATGAGCAGGTGTTAAAATTGGAAGCATGTGAAGTATTCTTTTCTGGTAGGAAATAAGAAGTTTCCAATAGCAAACTCTTCAGTTTGAATAGGGATTAGGTGTCATAGGATAATTTATTTTTTTCAAAGCTCCAAGTCTCACATCAAAATAGAGATATAGACAGGTGTTTGATTGAACCTCAGCAGTCATGATTTCCTGAATCATGAAAATACTGGTGTTCTGGAAAAGTCCTTGGGAAATGCTGCTGATCGAAAAGCTACAAGAGCTACATGCCCATTTTTATTTCTGAAAATGTTCCCCAATTCCATCGAGGTGTATTGACCACCCACTCAAGTCTCGGTATCTAAGCCAACCGAATACATTTCAGAGTAAATGGCACCTATTTTTCTTTGTTTATTTTATTTTATTTTGTTTTTCACATTTCAGGGGCCTGACAACTGTACAAAGTGCTCCCATTTTAAGGATGGCCCAAACTGTGTGGAAAAATGTCCAGATGGCTTACAGGGGGCAAACAGTTTCATTTTCAAGTATGCTGATCAGGACCGGGAGTGCCACCCGTGCCATCCCAACTGCACGCAAGGGTAAGCATCGGCTGACAGGGACTCAGGCTTGTGTGTATTGCTAATCCAAAGGCCCACGCCCATGCCTGCATCCCTGACACAGGCTACAAAATGTGTAGGGTTCTCATACAAAATTCTATTCATCTTTATATTTAACATGTTGACTTTAAGAAAAATCTTTTCTAAGAGAATGTTTAAGGAAGCAAATGTATACCCTTTGAAATATTTCCATTTAACCAGCACTGCTTTATTGACGTCTTCATGAAGCTGGTGCCGGGTATACTTTGTATGGAGTGTGAAAATTCTTTCAAATTTACAAGAGATTGAAGTTATCAGAAAAGACAAGATAGTAATCATACTTTCAAGATGTGTGCTTAGTAAATCTTGAGCAGAGGTTTTCTGTTTCTTTGTTGTTACAATCAGTTTAAAGTAAGGTTAGCTCTCTTTGGTAAATACTGCCTTGGATTACTCCATCAACAAAATATAAGCAAAAGTAGTAGGGGCAGAAAAAAAGGGAACTTAGTAATGTGTGTTTTAATAAAATTACGAGTGCTTTTTTTGAAAATAATTGTGTTACAGGTTAACCTATAACTGAGAATTTTTTTTTTGTTTGATGTAGGACAATTCAAAGATGGACACACATTTTTCTGTTTTTCAAAAAGATGTCATAAAATAAATAAAAAGTAGATTTATCTTTGATACTGATAACAGTTGAATAACAAAGACATTTTACAGAAAGAAGAAAAGTACTGCACTATAATGGAAATAATGTCAGTTACCTAACAAATCCCAACAACTATTTTTTTTCCAACAAATCTATGCTAGTAAGATATTTTCTTTTTCTTTTCTCCAGAATGTGAATAATTTTAGAGTCGAGAGCAGTTTCACATGCTCTATCTCCTTTCTGTCCATAAAACCTCATCTCTCTTGTGAGTGCCCATACCCATGTGCACACACATGTACAAACGCATCTACTTGTTGAGAATTATCTTGGTTACATTATATCTGGCAGGAAAGCATGAGATTCCATAAAGAGATTTTCTACCAGATTAAGGGCTAGCTGTTAGGGGATGTTGGAGAAGTGAAGCAAACAACATTATCTTCTGCCAAGAAAGCATTAATTTGCAGATGCTGCTACAGTTTCCTTCAGGTCAAGAAATCAGTTTAAGTCACTCTGTGAAATGGCAGGTCCTCAAAGGTAATGCCATATTGTGCCATTCAAATTCAAATTCAGCTTGGGAGAGCTAATGCCACTCACTGGTTTAGATATAAGCACACAGGGTGAGGGCACTGAAGTAGTCACACAGATACTGTACTTCTAGGAAACTAGAAGGAATAAACTGCTCCCCTGGTGAGTTTTTGGCACGCGTGGGTTAAGAGTATTTCATGAAGAAACTACTGGTACCGCTGGAGCAGAAGCACCAGCAACTGAAAGGGAAAACTTTGCCGCTAAAATAATCATCCACAGGAGGGTTTTATTGTTTTGCGGCTAAAATTAAACCAGTAAATTATTTAATATAATGTTGGTGTCAACAGCTGTTGCCATTCAAAAGGAGGCCTTTTGCTGTTTTTGCGAATCTAATTACAAGGAAGCCATTAGGGAAATGAAAGTGAGATCACAGAGCCCCAGTCTGCGTGTGTCACTGGTGTGTCTTCCCCTCGGCCCTTTTAAATCATGATTATACAATAAAAGAAGACACATATCATGGGGGGAAGTAGAAGGAGAGACAATGAAGATATCAATTTACTACAACAACAAAAGGTGGATGTCAGCCAAAAGGAAGTAGGCAGGTGTAATAGGGAACAAATCTGACCAGATCATTTGGGAACTCCCAGGAAATGGAAAGATGTTTTTAAATGCACTGCTACAGAATGGTGGGGACACAGAACTTGAATAGAATACTCCCTGGCATCTTCCAAGGTATATGGGCTCTGTAATGAGCGACTGAAGGATTTCTGGTTTTGCTTTTATTTAGTTAAGTGCCGTTTTGTTTGTTTGTTTGTTTGTTTGTTTGTTTTCCTGATAGCCTCCATGTGGTCCGGGTGCACTCACTTCATGAAAGTTCTGTGGCCCCAGGCACACAACAGAATTTAGAAATGCCCGTGCTTCCTGAGTCCCCTCTGTACAGCCCTGCTGGGAAGCACTGTGCTTTGAGATCTGTCGCTGAAGCAGTGGAGTGCTCTGCGCAGCCCACAAAGATCGCAAGGGCAGGGGCATGATGGGAAGAGTGACTATTTTTATTCCAAAACACTTGTAATTACTACCCTATTAGGAGGTGTGAGCCCACCAGGCCAGCTCCACTTTGGAAAACAGCGTTTCTTTCATATGCCAATATTATGTCAGCCAGATCATTCAAGAACAAAGTTAATGGACATAGTCTTTCAAATCACTTATTTTTTTTAAGAAGGAAACTTCTTCCTTTGAATACTGTTTAATGATTTTCTGAAAATGAAATTATCTGTTTAATACCTTGAAAGCACATTTACTACTCGAAAAGTGCATTAGATAAATTGGCTCTAATCAGTTCTTTAGATACTTTCTTAAAAGTAGGTGATCCATTTAGCACCTGTCAGGAGATTCTCACTAATATTCCTAGAGAAAAGAAAACAATAATGTTGTCTCTTTTTGTCTTGACTAAAGGACTGTAGTTTAGCAGTCTTTTCTCATTAAACACCTGCCGGGCATCAGATATAGTGAGTGATAGCCAACTTCAGAAATAGGCAAGACAGCTCTGGACCACTAGGAGGTCACAGTGCAGTGAATTTTTATTCTCAACAGTTTAAATCTGTCTTTTATGGTAATTAAATGACCATAAGGACAGGGATTATAGTTTCCTCACTAGTGCCACTAGTCCAGGATAAATGTCAATTTAATTTGGTTTTTAGACATGGACTGGGATATTTATGTTTCATAAGGGCATTTTTTAAAAACTTTATTAAATGTCTGTTAGTATTAGAGGCATGATTTTATATTATTAAATTTCTTCTATGTCTTACTCTTTATTGTAAATTTTTTTTATATTTTTAAATTTATTTAGTGAAATAATTTCTGTTGATGGAGAGGAGGAAAGACAGGCTGTTGTGGAATTATTGTCTACACTATTTTGATTTTTAAATATTCCTCCATTTTCATTTAAGAATTTGGAGATTTTATGAAAATATATTAACGATAAAGATTTTTTAAAAAAAATCTCAACTATGTTACTGGCAAATATTAAACAGCTCAATATTTGAAATTCCAGATATTTTATAATGTTATACTGATATATCATAATTTCTCTTTCTGATATTTCCATTAATGTTCTATTGTAGAACACTAATTTTATTGAAAGTCATATTATTCCATATCCTTATTGTGCTAAATAGTTGTTTATATAAAGTACAGAGTTGAAATAGAATATAAATCTTTAAATACACATTGACTTGTATTGAGAAAGGATAGTACCACTTCAGCCATGCCCTCATTCTCCTTTGTCTTCCATTGTTTCTTATCCCCTCAGCTTATAAATATGTTTAAATCTCAAATATCCTACACAAGTCTCTCAACAAATGTTCTTTAGCACATGTCCTGTCCCCTCTTTCTCTCTCCTTCCTTTTCCCTCGCCTCTGTCTTCAATTAGCTTCTCAATTCACAACAACCTAAATTCTAGTGAGCTCAACAAGGACAACTGAAATACTACCAGTAGTTCTTATTTTACTAGACCTCTCCTTGCATTTGACACTGATGATTACCCTGTTGTCTGAAGTTCACTTCTGATTGGGCTTCAAGGATGCTGTAATTAATTCATTAAACTCTGTTATTTTCCCTCCTGCTTCTGACATGAGCTCATTGCATGTCATTTACTCACTAGTTACTGAAGTTCCTTGGGTTTCAGTCTCAATCTATGCTTTTTTTTTTCACTTTATAGATTCTTCTTCGGCCATATCATTCACTTACATGGTTTCAATTTTCTCCTGTATGCTATTTCAAAATTGATTATTACACTGCGCCTTCAGCCTCTACCCCCACCCTCCAGCAACAGATTCATTTTCTAGCTGCTCAGGAACATTTCCTGCTGGATTATAGAAGAGCCACACTAAGCTCATACCAAAACTGAAATTAACAACTCCTCCTGCCCCAACACGCCCAAGAAAACGATGATCCTCTTCTTGCATTCTCTCACTAACAACGGTAGCACTAGTCTCAAAATTAGAAATATAAGTCATTCTTAACTCTTTCTTCCCCTTTCATCATCAAATCAGCCATCGAATTCTCTTTCCCCCCCCCCCATACCTTCTGAGATATTTTTTTAAATCTGTCCCACTGCTTCTATCCTAGGTACCATTTTCCTAGTTTAGTCCACCATCTTTTGAATAGACTAAAAGAGTCTCTGTAACAAGCATGTCTTCCTGGCTCCCAACTGACCAGTCTCCACAGAGAGATCAATGGAAAACACAAGCCGTTTCGCTACTTCTTTGAAACCCTCTGGTGGTTTTTTATTATGTCTGTGCCTGAACAAAGAGGCTTCAAATTCTGGCTCCTGTCGCATGCTCTAGGTTCTACTTTTCCCTGTCCCTATTGCCTCATCTGTCTTCTTCATTCAGTTGTGAGCTCAGCCCTAGCTGGTTTGGCTAAGTGGATAGAGCATGGGCCTGCAGACTGAAAGGTCCTGGGTTCAATTCCAGTCAAGGGCACATGCCCTGGTTGCGGGCTCGATCCCCAGTGGGGGGCATGCAGAGGGCGGCCAATCAATGATTCTTTCTCATCATTGATGTTTCTCTCTCTCCCTCCCCCTTGTTCTCTGAGATCAATATAAGCATATTTTTTAAAAACTTGTGAGCTCATTAAAAAGAGGCAAATGTCTAACTCATCTTTTCTTTTTCCACCTCCAGGTCCTAAAATGGTAGGAATGCTGAGTAGGCATGCAACACAATTTTGTTTTGTTTTTAATGAGTCAATGATTTTTCATTATTCACACTTTTTCCTCAAGTTTAATTTCACTTCAAAATATTTTCCTACTTTTCAAAGATTTTTATAAAGATACAGATTACAGCCCTAGCTGGTTTGGCTCAGTGAATAGAGCACCAGCCTGTGGATCAAAGGGTCCTGGGTTTGATTCCAGTCAAGGGCATGTACCTCTGTTGCAGGCTCCACCCAAGCCTCGGCCCTGGCGTGCAGGAGGCAACCAATGTGTTCCTCTTACATTGATATTTTTCTCTACCTTTCCCTCTCTCTCCCACTCTCTCTAAAATATCAATGACAAATATCCCCGGATGAGGCTTAAAAAAAAAAAAAAGACATAGATTACAAACTAACCATAGCTTTCAAATTCTCATTCGGAAATAAGTACGCTATTAATTTTCCAAAATGACAATACTGTATATTTAAAAATAACATTTTGAAGAAAATATAATAGGAACTTCAAAAAAAATAAGTTCTTCAGAATTGAATAAGAAGAAACCATGATAAGACAATTTGGAAACTTTTAAATTAGTTAATTTTCCATTTTCAGAAAAGGTTTTAATTACAGATTATGGTATCAATTCAAAACTATGTGCTCTAGTTATTTATTTGCATATTAAAAAAAACCTTTTTATAATGTATTTCCCATATACCTGTATGTTAAAAAAATGTCTGACCTCTCAAAAACAATCCTCAAAACAAAAACAAACCAATTCCAATTTTTACCTAGTCTGAATGTTATAATATATTTTTGAAACAGGAAAATAGTGACATAATTATTTTGGGGCATAGTAATAATAGTTCACCAATGTTTAGTTATTTAAAAATATAATGGACAGTCTGGCTTTATGCCTGATACATTTGTTATTCATTATACAATGATCTTAACATCAACTTCTTTTTCTGTTTAAGAAATTTTTCGTTTGGAAAAAGTCATTTTCATTACCACTGAATTAGACAGTTCTATAAATCATAGCTATATGAGGAATCTTGATAATGCACTGGAGCTATATGTCTTTGATGGGGGAAAACAGAAAGAAAAGCAATTCAAGTACATTGGAAAATGGAAAAAGAATATTTCTAGAATACATCAAAATGAAATTATAGGAACTGTAATTTTGTGTACTTATATTATTTCACTTACTAGTAAATGTTAATCTTAGTGGATTTTTAGTTACCTGAGTCTAAACATATTCATTTCCTTGGAGAGGATTAATTTATTTGTTATTTTTTACATTAAATATTTTGGCAGTTTAAAACCAGTTTTTGTTTGCCTGTTATGGCACTGCTCTTTTAAAAAAGAGTGTCAAGATAAACGGTAATATGGTGAAACCAGTTAATTTGCTTTTTAAATGAATTCATGTTTAAAGATAAGTATGTTATAAAGACAGTCACAGCCAAGGAATGGAATAATGTGATTATGTAAAATATCTATGAGACTAGCATTAAAGAATGTTAACTCACTTTCTGCCAAAGTCAATCTTTAATGAGTATTAAGGATCAGGTTATTATATTATATTCAATAGTATATGTTTCCTTTTTTATTGATTTTGTGTTTACATAAATTGAAGAGCTTTTAGAAGAAACTGTATGCATGAAACCAATTATAGCCATGGAAATATCAAGTTATTCATCAAGACATATAATCATGAATGATGCAAATAAATAGAAAGTATGAGAAATGAGCAATATGTGTTTGGAAACTACCCACAAAATACAGCAAAATGTCCTTTTCTGTGGATATATTTCTTTGCATTCCACTTGGGTGGTATTTGCAATTTATTCCTGTGTATCCATGCAGCAATAATCTCCTCATTGCCTTTAAGTTCATGGTGTTCCAAAATTGCCTAATAACTATAATTAAGAATTTCACACAATTGGTATTTATCTTATTGATTTTTTTAAATGACTAATTTTTTCCTTGTATTTTTAAAATTTGGATCTTCTGCAGGTGCGTAGGCTCAAGTATTGAAGACTGCATCGGCCTGATGGATAGGTACTTGGTGTGCTTGCTTCCCATGTTCTTCCTGGAGGCTCCATGTATGAGCACTGGTGCATGTGTGTGCATGTCACTGTGAATGGAGAATGACGTTTTCTGTTCTGTAATTGCCTGCAGGTGTAGCGGTCCCACTAGTCATGACTGCATTTACTACCCTTGGACGGGCCATTCCACTTTACCACAACATGCTAGGTAACATCTACCATGTTTCCATTTTGTCACTCAAATTATCCCAATTATCATGGATGAAAAGTACTAACCAGTTGGGTGAAATTTATAATATGTTAAATTAGGGAATTAGGAAGACATATAACATTTTACTTTTCAAGCCACATTTCTTACCTCTTCTCACTTCATTGATTATGACTTCAAATCCAAATTAGTAATATAATTATTCTAAATTTTATACAATCAAACAAAATTAGCTAATTTTGAATTAAGCCAGCCCTTTTATAAAATAGTTCATTCTTAATTCTGTAGATAATTTTAAAAAGAAATATTTTAAGGGAGGAATTTGTAGAAGTTGATGTATTTTTATAAGATGTTTGTTATTTGATTCACTTTCTGATTTTATATTATTTTGAACTGGTTGGTATAAGCTCTAGATATCAGAGTTACTATAGATTAAAGGCAATAAATAAAATATTTTGTGAAGGTAAAAGTACAAGGCGGGATTTAAAAACAAAATGTGTCACTCACACACATACAAAAACCTAAGTATGAATGTAGTTGCTTAATTCAGAATCACTCCAAACTGGAAATCACTCACATGTTCTTCAGTTATGGTATATCCATACACTGTAACTCTACTCAGCAATAGAAAGGATGTAACTGCTGACATGCACCAAACATGGGTGGGTCTCAGGAACATTACTCTAAATGAAAGAAGCTATACTTAAAAGAATACATACTGTATGATTCTATTTATATGGCATTCTGAAAAAGGCAAATTGTAGGACAGAAACTCGACCAGTGTTACCAGAGGCTGGGGCAATGAGGCATCAGGTTGACTACAAAAAGGCATGAGGAAACCTGGGGGGATAATGAAACTGTTCTGCATCCTGATAGCAGTGATGGTTGCACGAATGTATGCGCTTGTCAAAAGTCATAGTCCAGTACATTTAAAAGGATGAATTTTACTGTATATAATTGACAACTTGATAAATTTGACATTTAAAACTCATATATAGGAAAATAGTAATTTTACAACATTATGTAGAACTATTGTTTGCTTTCTTAATGAAGCATTTATTGCATTTTTGGAAGAGAAAAAGAAGTGCTAAATTATAATTAGCAAAATGAGAGTTTTGGATGACTTAATGATTGTTGATGCAAACCATCATGTTGAAATATAGCACATGTAGTGTAAAAGTACTTCAAGATAAGTGTAAATCCCAGTGAGTTTCTTCAAATGCAACATTGGTGTAACTGTCAGGCAGATCAAGAAGAAACACAATAGTATCAGAACCAGAAACCCTTTTGTGCCCCATGGCAAGGGTAACTGCTATCCTGAACATTAACACCATAGGTCAGCTTTGCTGTTTCTGTACTTTATATAGGGTGTCCCAGAATTCACGCAAGAAGTAATTTTGATAGAAAACACAGGCTTATAATTAAAAATTGTAAATATTTATTGATTCAAAAAGTATACAGTATAGGGTTATGTATGGAATAGCACATCAGGTAAATGGCCTCCATGGCTTTGCTGGCACATATGCAAAGCCGTGGTCTTCATTGGTCTTCATTGTCCCTGCTCCTGGGCCATAATTGGTACTTGGTAATGCTTATCAAATTGAAGGGATTGAAATCAAAGGGCAACAGATATTAGAATCTGATTCAATAAACCAAGTAAAATTAGGCTTTTATTTTTTGTTGTTGTTAATGCTCACGCAAAATTCAAATCTTGAATTCATCTTTTATACAAGGTGAATTTTGGGACACCCTATATAAATTATAGAAATTGAATCATTTTTTGCACTCTTTACATCTGGCTTCTTTGTCTACATATTATATTTATGAGATTCATTTATGTCATTAAATTTAGTCATAGTGTTTAGATTTATATGGTATTTGCCTTTAAGTATTTTTAAAGCAATCAAATAAGTGCTATGTCAATAGTTTTGTTTTTTAATGAAATAAATAGACAATTAAATTCTAAAAAGAATGTATATGGTAGACTTCGGTGATTTATACAATAGTGGCACTTTGGCACTTGGGCACAATCAAGACTAGTTTGTAACAGTTGTTTAGAGCCAGGCCAAAATTATGAAGAAACAAAAGTCAACACACATGAGAGAGAGAAAGAGAGAGGGAGGGAGAGGGACAGGGAGAGAGAAAGAGAGAGAGAGAGAGAGAGAGAGAGAATCTTCCACCCCCAGGCCCAAATTAAAGTTTTTTAAGTCAAGGCTTATTTTAGATTGGAATGGACCTATATTCATGAAATAATTTTTCCTCCTTGAGTCTTTGAGTCTCTTTACTGTAACTTTAAATGGTGTTTTCTTTCATATTTGTTTTAATTATTTTTAAAATAATGATTTCAACCATCTATTTAGAGGCAGTATAGTATAGTGATTAAATATGCTATCTTTGGGATCAGACTTTCTGAGGTCAAAGCCAGGCTCTACCATTTTTTAGATGTATGACCTTGGGTAAGTTCCTTAATTTATCTGAGCCTCACTTTCTTCATATATAAAATAGTAATATTAATATAGTTCATAAATTGGTTGTGAAGATTGAATGAGTCCATAGAACAGTGCCTGACTGAGATAAATCACTCAATATGTTTTATTTAATATTTCTCTATAGATCAAGGACTTTTAATGTTGGGGATGGGGAAAACACCCCCCAGGGGAGGAGGGAAGTCGCTCAAAGTAACCCAGGTAGCTTTCATATGTACCTCTACTCCTCTGATGGTCTTTTGAAGGAAGGGAAGTGATTTCTTTCTCACTGTCATGAGAGCCACAGGTACCAATGGCAGTAGGTCATAGGCAGAGGCATCTACAGAGACTGAGAAAAGTCTAAAACCATAGTGATTGATCACTTGTAGTTTTCAATGCCATATGAGGTTGTATAGCTCAAAATCATAGTGTATTGTCAACATACAAAATATAAAAACTTTAGAGAATTTTTATGAGTGTATTTGGGTTTATTTACGCCAAACTGGTGACATGTCAGGAAGCAAAACCTCCAATGCTCTGGAGAATGACAATTTTACAGTGCCTTCTTTTTCTTTTTCTTTTTTTCTTTATTGATTAAGGTATTTAGAGCCAGGCCAAAATTATGAAGAAACAAAAGTCAACACACATGAGAGAGAGAAAGAGAGAGGGAGGGAGAGGGACAGGGAGAGAGAAAGAGAGAGAGAGAGAGAGAGCATTTTCTTTATTGATTAAGTGTCCCACTTCCCCGCTCATGCCCTCTTACACATCTGGATTTAAGGAGGGAACATAAGGAAGATTACATGAAGGTGGGAGAAAGCCAGGTACAGGATAGTTAACAAGATTGTGTGTTCCCTTAAGGGTGGTTAAGCCTCCCAGGGGTCTGAAAAAGAGGTTTACTTGGGCATTTCAGTGGCGAGTTACCCTACATACCCAAGCACAATGGACAGGGCTTGCTTAAGGCTAAGATAAAACTTGTATAGGCTTGGGGCATGACCACCCACAACCTGCCCCATTAGGAATTTATGATCAGATCCACTTGTGAGGTTACTTTTGGTCAGAGTTATTACAGAGCCTCTTTTTTGTTCAAAATATCTTCTTATTGACTTAGTATTTCCAGCATTTAAACAAAAGGGATTTGGTAATTTTTAATCCTATTACTTGCCTGGGATCCCAGGCCATTCTCTATAGTCTCAGATTAATGCATTTAATTCAGATTAGCTTTTGACAAAAATACATAGATAATCAAGGCCAGCAACAGAGACTAGATAGTACAGTTCACCTATCATTCCTGTGAAAAATCACCTGTACACCTTTGTGCAGATAAAGAGCCGGGGTTCTTGAACATGAAAGCCTGGGTCCCAGTATTGGCTCTGCCACGTTTGGTATCTGTAAAATGAGATGATAATGGTAATTTTTAAATTGGGAATTGTTAAACCTAGTAAGATTGGTGTGAAGATTACTTGAGATGATGCACAGGATCCATTAACTAGTATGTGGACCTTATGACAGTTCAGTCTCTAATTGAAATACTGGAAAAATAAATCTTTTCGAAAATATTATGAGGTTGTGAGATATATATATATATATCAGTATGGCATTAATTCAATAGTTTAGTTGCTACAGAATTGACATGTTAAATTTCTCAGGTTTTAAGCATTTCAATTTTGTATGAGACTTTTAAATATAATGATTTCAAAGAATTCATAATAGGGGGCCAACTGTTCCTTTTAGAAAACTGTGGATATATTTAATTAATACCTGTCTTAAAATGTAATACCTGGTTTAGACTTAAATTTAAGGCAATGTGACTCTGTTCTTTGATTCCATTGACTTGTCAGAGGCTATTTATAAGGCAGTTTGGAATTTACAGGAAAGGTTTAGATTGTACACTTTGGAAGAGTGTTTATGACCGTGGGGAATTTTGGCGCAGGTTGAATGAAAAGTGAAATTAACAACCATCCCCTTTTCAGGTCTTTAATATTGCAGTAAATGCTTGCTGCTCTGAAATGGGGTGGGTATACATTTAATTGAAAGCAGGGGACTAATCAAGTAATATTTCAGGTAATTTACCTTTTTATAAATTCATGATGTTTTTTTTAAAGTTTTTGTCTTAATTAATTAAAGTGGATCTTATATATAGGCAGGACAAAAAAAAGCATGATAGAAAACAATAGCTTTAAGTTTCCTGAACGATGTTGTGACTGGGAGAGTATCCAAATGCCTGGTTTTCTTCTTAGTCAAATAAAAATTTTAGTCACCGGAAATTTCCTTGAGCATGTCAATGTGGCTGTTTCCAAATACTGAGTTCATACTCCCTCCTGCTCCTCTATGCTGTATGCTGTTTCTTAAACCAGCAGGAAAAAAGATTGAAGATTTAAATGAAAACAGGTGAAATGTTTCCAATCTTGATTGACTTTCATTTTCTAAGCAGTGTTATTCTTTCCCAAGCTTGCAATTTGTGAATTGGTTATCCACACTCCATTTACTTTCCAGGCTGCTGCTAGAATTTCTTCCAGAAAGATTGGATAGTATAGA